ACTTTTCGCCCTCTAGCGGCGCCAAAAGGTTCACGTTTGTAGGCGCGGGACTGTGTGGGAGGAAGCCGGAGAACCTGGAGAGAACCCACGCTGCACGGGGAGAACATGCAAACTCCACACAGAAAGATTCCGGTGCCCCCACCGGGACGCGAACCAGCAACCTTCTTGCTGCGAGGCAACAGTGCTACCAACTGCACCACCCTGGTTCGAACCCGTATGGCTGAATTCAATACTACAACTTCCTCCTGTGCAGCGTAGAGTAGTTGTACAATGTTTGAGTGGAATCAGAGGTGAGCCGGTGTGTTCCAAATTCGGTGAGCGGAGCGAGAGAGGCATGCAGGGACAGTGTAGAGTTACGCCTCGGCCATTTTAAGGTAGGAAGGGATTGTTTTCATGGGGAAAAAAATTGTCTAAATATGTAACTTTGATACAGTGAGATTAGTTTTTAGGGGTTTAATCAATGACTTTATAACTGGAAGCAGAAGGAAACAGCTACCTTGTCCACGGGTAACGAAATCCTCAAAAGCTCACAAATGACCAATAAAAGAATCAAGTATGTAACATGTACACTACAATGTTGAACTGCCTCTTTAAAACTTGGCTCAACTTGACAAACTTTAAGTCTCTGCAACCTCTACGACAGCCTCCGTGTTGGCTGAGACAATAACAACAGTGGCAGGATGGGAAAAAAAAGCCCCGTTGAAACAACATAACTAACAAGAAATAAATGTCAGGCTGAATAATGAAGTGAAAACAAAATGCCACTTCATTCTGATTACGTCCCACATATCCTAAAGGATCGCAACACTTTGCGGAGCGGCTAACAATTTACAGGAGGACATTATTTACTAATGCCCATTGTTGTGTCAAAATAAAATATATTGTATTAGCGCGAACACACATCGCTTTCCGGTCACCTGCTCTTTGATTACATCTCTCGTCTCTCTCCGCTCATTGTTTGATTAACTGACGGTTTGTTTGATTAGAATCGGCTGCCGCTGATTGGAATAACCTGTCATTTTAATCAAAATGATCTTATGCTGCGCCAGTTGTTGGCTGCTGTTTGATGAAAATTACCTGCTGTTGGGTTGCAATTACCTGTCTGATTATTTGCCAGGAACATTCTTATCAAAACACCTTGGGGCTTTTGAAAGATTAAAAAGTACTTGTAGTTTTTTTCTTCTTCCTGGCTTTACAAGAAAGGAATCACTGAAATATTCATATATCTGTTTATGTCAACTACTTTTCTAACGAGATGCATTATTGACTTTGGCTGCCGCGCTCGTCCATTGTCTCCTTCCCACGTTATGCGCTGTGTAATTTGTCTTTATTTCAGGTTGTGCTAAATATGCTCGAGGCTCCTCTTTTGCTTAAATGTTTTTGCTTTTCGGCGCACGAACCTCTGACAACGCGCTGTGACCTTACCAATCCTCCCTCCGGGTATTAAGAAATCGTCAATAAATCAATTACTGCATTTTAGCAGAATATTAAGGTGCATTTGGTGGAAGTGGGTGGCACCGGGAGAAGTGGACTCCAGCTGTTTAGTATTTGCAACAAGGCTCAGAATGCATCATGAAGCTTGTTCCTTGGCATTACGGTTATTGCACACCAGGGTACATTATCTTTCCATTACATCAAGCAGTTTGATAGAGTCATACTCTCAGGGCACTTCTAATTTCTAGCGGTACATCTGGGATTTCTTATAAGCGCTGCCTCCCTTTTGCTGATACCAGCTGATGGCGTTCCACACCAAATCAGCACCGTCGGTTCATTTAAGCCTCATTCAGGCTGTACAAAGCCTCCGTCTAATTGGGTTCCGCACGCGTTGTGTTTTTATGCACCCCCCGAGGATGTTTTTAGTGCTGCTTCCTCCCCGCTAATGCACGGGGGCGAGCCGAAAAACACATTACCTGCATCCATCTCATCTGCAATAAATGGTTAAATCTATGACAAACGTTATTTCATCACTGAACTAGTTTTTCTTGTGTGAGTCAAAGTCATTTTTGGCCTGACATTGGCAGGTCCTGTAAGGATAGTAATTGGATTTCCAGAATAAGCGAAAATCTCCTTTCTCTCCCTGCCCTGCTCTAGTAATTGAGGTTAAATGAAATGGTCAGCCATGCACTAAACCTCAGTGGGTGTTCAGCGGTGGGTGTGTGCCGGATAAAAAAGAGCTCTAATTTAAATTCTTTGTGTTCAAACTTACTAAAATGTTTCATGTAACAAATATAGGGGCTGTGTTTTGATTGAAAATGTCAAAAGGTGTTAAAAATAACAAGCCTGGTTTCACACGGTTTTAAAAAATGGCAGATGGAGGATTTTCTTTGGGGTTTGTGTTTGTTGTGCGAACTAACCAAACGTCCTCAGCGTCCACGTCGCACTCTGCCCCGAACTGGCAGATGTCACAGGTGGACGTCTCCTTCTGGCCGGTCTCCGCCGAGCCCTCTCCTCCTGAAAGAGACGGAGAAAGACGTTTCACACAAGTCGGATTTGCGGCTTCTTGTCCGTTGAACTTGGGTTCATTCGCAGGGAGAACAAACCTGTAACAAACGGCGCACCTCCAGCAACGTGACCGTGAGAAATCGGCCTCGGACAACTTAAGTGCATTTACATTCCGCCATAATCCCACCTGAAGCCATCTCCTTCATCCGTTCACTCTAACCCCTCCTTTTTTTTCCTCCACCCTCCTCTAACTCCCTCCGTCTGACTCTCATCTATCACTCTCAAATCCCTGCTGATCTTTTCCGAGTCCCTCTTTTATTTCACCGCGCTGATTTTTTCTCGCGCCGTGAGTGCCGACGACTCCTCGGCGGCGGCGGCGTGGGTACCGGCGTCGGGCTTATGGCGGCTTAGGGACCCCACCGGTGCATATCACGCCTCATGAGCGGCCGAAGGGGAGAAAGAAGCACATACAGAAAAAAAAAAAAAAAAAGCAATCTGGCCAATCTCAAATTGCATTCTCCTACCACAGAGGACTCCTCTAGACTCTTTCACTCTTCCTCTCCTTCCCCCAACCTCCTCTCCATTAGACAAGCTCTATTTTTAAACTTACTAGGGCCCATGAGGACAACTTCGGAAAAGGAGACGAAGAGGTGGAACTTGGCATCATTTCCCCATGTCATATCTATAATCTCCCCAACACACACTCATTCACAGACGCCCACACCGCCGCCGCCATGCATTGCTCCCTTGTGTCGCGTCTTTCATTTTCCCTCCTGAAACTTTTGTTATTTCTTGTGATCCCTCGCGACACGCTGGATTGAATTGGAAAGAACTCCGGTAGAGAGGTTTAACCTGATTTTCTGCTGTCAGACTTACGACTCTTATTTTTAAGGTCAAAGTCAGTTAAGTTTACTTCGCCGTCTTTGACTGTTGAATCTAGTTAGCATGTGACGCGCCTCATCCATAACTCTCAGCTCGGATTTGGTCGCTGTTGGGTTAGATTATCCCAAACAGCTTCATTCGCCTCTTTCGACTGTGTCCAAAAACCACAATGCAGCCTACAAGAGTGAAAAGTTCCTTTGCTGAGGGTGTTAAGCTCCTTTCATATGTCCTGCCTTTGCTTTTAGTGTTATTTTTTTTTATTTATTTAATTTTTTCTTTCTTTCTTTTGAAGCTGTGTCTCAAGCTGCAGGTGTTAGAAGGCAGCCTTGGCGGTGAGGCAGCGTGTCCTCTGAATGCTTAACATTTGCTGGCACGTGGAAAAAATATACATTCCGTATTCACAGCTCTACTTTCGGGTCAGAGGACTGGCAAGACTACAAGGTGCGAAGCTGAGTTGGTGTGTAGCCAACTAGCGGAGCTTGAATGCCAAATCTTGTAAGTGTGCATGTGGGGAAAAAAGAAAAAAAACCAAAAACCCTTTTCAGCAAATCTTCTCATATATAATTTTAGATTTTGTTTAAAGTTCCTCGGCAGCTTCAGTTGTTGCCAAGACTTCTTGAAAGTTTGCAGGATAATTATTGTAAGTGCAGAGTAAACCAAAATTTAATCATTGTGTTTTGTTAACTTTTAGTTGTTCAAAATGTTTTTTTTTTTTGGTGCTTAAAAAAAATAGGATTTCTTCCAACTTGAGCAATTTTGAGTTGAATGAACGAATCACTGAGTATTCACTCAACTCATTAAACTGGTTTAAGAAACAAAACAAGCTCATAAATAGACTGTTAGAGAGACTCTTCTTTTACACCGTTTAGACAAAACAGACATGGTGGATGTGTCTTAATTACCCTAACTAAACACTTAAGGTTTCATGAATTTAATGTTAAAATTAAGTCCCGGTTGTTTCGTCTCATAAAAATTAAAACAATTCCAACCATGAAGGATATTGAATTCAGTCCCCACACTTAGAGAGACTGTATCTCAGTGTCGCTGGCAGCAGCTCAACAAAACGTCTTCGACAGATGCTGCTGAAAGTTCTGGTATTTGAGGAAAACGCTCATTAAACTGAGAAGACGAACACGGAAATAAGTCTAATGATCGTAAACGACCCAATATCTGAAGTTCATTCAACCTAAATATGGTAGTTTTACAACCTGAGTGCAGTTAACTCACATTTGCAAGGCAGCAATTTATAAACCCTTCATATATGAACAAACCAGATCTATGTCGCAGCCCGTTTGCCCGCAGATAAAGTGAAGGCGTTTTAAAATAACGTTCTTTGTTGCAGCACACAGGAAAGGAAAATACAAAGTGAGATCTGGTCTTTGTGCAGACTGCTTCTCCTCGACATAATTGAGCTCAGTTTGACATCAATATCACATTCTGACCATTTTCTCACACTTCTTAAATTCAGCTCCTGAGAAATAGCCTTCGTCTTGTCTCAGCCTGATCCCAATTTAAGATCTAAAATGCTTTTTTCCCCCCTCTCACTGCTCTGACCTTTATTTGTCTGAAATAATCAGCTCTTGAGCTAACAGTAAGATCTAAAGGAAAGCTTGATTGGCTTTGGAAAGCAGCCCGCTTGATATCAGGAATTTTGTCTTTGGGTTGGTATTTTATCTGCTCTCAGAGTTGTCTCGCTTCTCAGATCTACACATAAACTTTATTGTTCTTGTTGATTTGTCATTTCAGATGCCTTCTAAACAAGAGCGGAGCAGATGTCCTGCTGGGCTGCTGCTGAAGCTGGAGGGAGGGTCACGGGGGTCACCAGATTTGCCAGGTCTCATGCCAACATGAATGTTGTCACAAAATTTCATGGTGATCCAACGAATATATTTAGAAATATTTGGACCTACAGTAGCTGCTGACAGATCTTTCACCTGAAGCAGAGAAAAGAAGAAGCTGAAAGCCGTAATATTCATTCTTAACACGTTCCAGTTAAAAACAAAAACATCCATTTTACTTTTCTTTTTTTTATTGTTATTATCATTTTAATATTCCCACTGGCTTATCTAAAACAACTCAATGCTTTGATCCCCTGTTGAACATTTGTAAATTACCACTGGAGGAGGGAAATTAGGGCACTGCTGGTGTTATAGCGTCCATCCATCATCTATACACCACTTAATCCTCACTAGGGTCGCAGGGGGCTGGAGTCTATCTCAGCTGACTTAGGGTGAAGGCAGGGGACAAAAATAAATAAAAATTTGCTAAATTATAATTTAGTGAAATAAGACATTGCTTTAAAATTGTGGTTGAAAAGAATAATTAAAAAAAAAATAATTAAAAATGAAATCAAAATAGCTGTCAACAGGAGCAGAAGTCTGATTGAGAGTTACAGAAAACACCTGATCGCAGTGATTGGCTCAAAGGGTTGTTCAACAAAACATTAGTTTACAGGTCCCATCATGCTTGTTTTTTAAAAAAATTATTTATTTTCATCCATCCATCCATTATCTATACACCACTTAATCCTCACAAGGGTCCTAGGGGGGGCTGGAGTCTATCCCAGCTGACTCAGGGTGAAGGCAGGGGACACCTGGACAGGTCACCAGTCTATCACAGGGCTACACTTAGAGACAGACAACCAAGCACACTCACATTCACACCGACGGACAATTTAGAATCACCAATTAACCTCAACATATTTTTGGACTGTGGGAGGAAGACAGAGAAACAAACTCCACACAGAAAGATCCCGGTGCCCCCACTGGGACGCGAACCGGCGACCTTCTAGCTGCAAGGCGACGGTGCTAACCACTGGTGTTATAGCACATACTTCTTATTTCCCATTTCAGTACACAGTATTTGGATGGAAGGTTTGTTCACATTTCTTTTAATTTGATTATAAACGGTTTGTGTGGTATGTTGGTGTTGCTGTCATCTCACAGCAAGAAACCTGCTTTGGTTTTCTTCTCCGAGTCCAAAAACAGGCATGACAGGTAACTTGGTAACTCTAAATCATGTAAATCAAACAGGTCTTTTTCTCTTGCCTAGAAGTTGTTAAGGCAAAAACTCGGAGAAGTCTATGAGCACAGCCAAAAAACATTTTTAAAAAAGGAGCTTTTGATGTGTTTCTCCTCTTATGGGAAAATTTGTCTTAGATTGAATTATATTTTTTTGCATTTCATTTTCTCTAAGGGGCGTTTAGCAGAAGCAGGTCAGAATTTAGTAAACTCTGACTACAAAGATGATTTATTTCTGATGAGAGAATGAAAAGACTATTGTGAGCAGCAACGTTTTCCTCTGGGTGTGGATCCGTACATACAATAAAACATCTTTATCTTTGTCTTCATTGTAGAACATCGAAGACATCAAAACTATAAAGTAAACGGAATCACAAAGCGAGGAGAAATGTTTTTCAAAAGCTAAATACCTTTCATAGCTTAGATTCCTACAAGAAGCACGACAGCTCTGCAGACTGCTGGCGTTCTCGAAACAAGTTTTGTGAGGTCGTCACCCGGAATGGTTTTCAATTAACAAGTGAGCCTTTTAAAAGGTTAAAATATGGATTTTCTTGCTTTCACAAAGTATCTGAGACCCCAGCTTTGTTGTGTTGAGGTTGGTATAGACTCAGTGGATCCATTCAACCACTGCGGTAAAGCATTTTTTATTTTTTTTTTTAGAAAGAACCACTCAACTAGGTAAAGAGAAATGAATGTCTATCATTACTTTAAAACATGAAGGTCAGCAAGTCCAGAAAATTTAAAAACTTTCTTCAAGTCGCAGTCGCAAAACCATCACACTGTGTGATGAAACTGGATCACCTCAGGACAGGAAGACCCAGAGTTACATCTGTTGCAGAGGCTGAGTTCTTTTTTTTTTTTTAAAGCTACCAGCCTCAAAAAAATTTCCATTTTTTTCCGGCACTTAAGAGAGGAGTCCACATCAATGCTTCCTGGAGTTCAAACAGCACACACATGCCAACGTCAGAAGACGTGACCCAAACCTTCGTGGTCCAACTGCGAAAGAAAACCACTAACCGAGAAGTGGAAGAAAACCGTTGGAGCCAACAAGGAACAAACATTAGTGAAAATCTTGAACTTTGATCGCGGCTTTGTCTTTGTCTGAGA